GCAGGATGTGACCAGGGTACCTGGTTTAGATACAATTATTAGTTGCTTCAACCATGACTAACCCCCCTCACAAAAAAAGAATACAAACCCATCTCTCTTTGTCTGCGTGCGTGTGTGTGTGTGTGTATGTATACATATATATATATATATATTGTATGTACAAAAGAAATATTCATTAGTTTATGTTTTCCCCAAAAGATCTGAGACACTGTGTGATTATGGCTTGGGAATCAACTAAATTTGAGTTTGGAATATACTCTGGTTGAACACGTTCCTGTTACCTTTACCTTTTTCTGAGCTCCACAACCACTTTGGAGAAAGCTTGGTCGTGGTCCTGTCCTGAAAAGGGGCACATGCAGGGAGGTTAAGATAATTTATTCCCCTGAATTATTTTCAGTTGCAAACAGGGTTTAAATGAGTCACGGACACACAAAGTTTGATTGACATATAAAACTCCCCTACAACCAAACTCACCTGCATACTGTTTGGCCAACTTGGCGATATCTTCTTTATTAAAAACGTACTGTTTAGTGGCTATCCAGTGGTGCAACACTAGCAAAACCAAAACGCCGACTGCGGCGACCCCGCACAGTCTTACAGTGGTGCCAACAACAGACATTGCTACAGACAAAACGCACAGACGAAGACACAGCGGCAGCTATCGCTACATGCGGCCACACAAGCTGACAGGTTGCTCCATGAGGAATGGAAACTGACAGTTTCTTCCTGGTCACGTGAGACCTGGAAAGATGATAGCTCAGCCAATCACAGAACGAATTTGTCGTGCAGGCAACAGTGAGTCGAGTGTTGCCAGTATATGATCAAAGTCCCCTTTCAGTTTGGTTAACAAGAATAGCATAACTATACAAATTGAGCGTAATTTACTGAGTAGTTCTTCTTTTGTATGTTGAAATATTACATTAAATTTAATAATAACGAGATAAGATAACAATTTCTATTCATTGTCTGCGTGCTATCTCGCTTCTTTAGAACCCGTAAATTTGTTACGTGTGGCACACGCCTTTTCTCTGTCAAAAACAGGAAATGAGCTGAGAGTGTCCGTAGTTAGCATTGGTCTATGGTGAAATGAATCGAGAAGTGATTGTTCAGCAAGTTAGATGCCTGTTTTCCAACTTCTCTGACAATCATGAGCGGCGAACAGGGCGCAACTTTTGACCCCAAAGGTACGTTTTTTGTTAACTTTCCAACATTAAAACGCTGAGTTTAGCCTACCAACAACTGCTGCTTCCGTCTGAGGTAAAATATACCCGACTTTTGCAAATACGTCTGGCCGAATTGACCAACAGAGAGCAAAGGTGTAAAAAAATGTCTTAGGCATAGGCTTATCCCGAAGAGCTCTTTATTTCAAGGTCAACAGTTAAATTAGAACATTTTTGAAAGGCGCATTTTTCCAATGAGCTCTGACCTATTAAAGGAGAACTATTATCAGAGTATTTAGATAACTGTCATCATACAGAAAGCTTTTAATGCTCTCAGCCAGCTGAGCTGTCTTGTGATAGTAGTTCTTGATGATTTTACTGCAAACTGCACCAGCATTTATTTTTAAATAAATAATTATTTGTATGCACTATGTATGGTTTGTATGGTTATATTGGTCATAATACGCTCATCGACCACCAAGAGTTGTAGGTTAAATGGCCTGAAACGTTTTGCATTGCATGTTGCCTCCCAATTTGTCCACTCTTTGTTAATATATTGAAAACATGTTTTGCATTTCAGAGCACCAGCATCTGCGTTACAACCCCCTGCGGGACAGCTGGGTCCTTGTGTCGGCCCACCGCATGAAGAGACCATGGGCTGGCCAAGTGGAAAAACCTCCCGAAGAACACATCCCCAGACATGACCCTCACAACCCACTCTGTCCCGGGAACACACGCGCAAATGGAGAGGTGAGAACAAACAGACACACAGGTTTGCATTTCAGAGTAAAGGGCAACCTGTGTGGTTACAGATTTTTGTATTTCTATCTCTATGGGTTGAATCTCTTTTAGTGTAATTCAGTTGCCCCGTTCTACTGACCGGGTTGTGATTTTCAGAGGATCTTTTGTTTTGTTGTCTGTGGTGGACAAAAAAAAAAGATCTGATTATATGTTCACCTTTATGGTAATTTTCCTTTTGTTGTTTTTATGTTTCTGTGCAGTAACATATTTTTTCATGGAGACTGCCGGCAGAATCAGACGTTCCAGATAGTTGTTCTAGTCTTTTCTGTTGTACCTCAGGGCTTCCATAAACAAATGTATTTTTTTAATTACTTTGTCCTTTTCAGCATTATCTTGTTAATAAACCTCATCAAAAAATGGATTGCGTGTTAACTAAGCAGAGCTCACGTTTTTAATCTTTCTGTGTCCTATTTCATTCACTTCCCTTTTCCAGATAAATTCGAACTATGACCGTACCTTTGTGTTTGAAAATGACTTTCCCGCTCTCCAGCCAGATGCTCCAGATCCTGGTGAGTCCACAGTTATGACCAAATAACCCAAAACAAAGTCATTTTAAAGCACACATGATTTTCTTTGTGTATATTGTGTGTTACAGACAATGTCTTTGTTGTCTTCAGGTTCGAATCAGCATCCCTTATTTCAATCCAAAGCTGCAAGGGGTGTCTGGTAAGAACAACTCTTGTTGTCACAGTCCAACACAAATCAGACAGAAATAAGTGCTGTAAGCTTTGTTTTACTCAGGCTGTCACATACTGTGTGTCATAGACTGCTTAAGTGGAGCACCAGTTCTGATCCGTAAATTCCAAACATTTAATTCATTTTCACTTATACAGAGGGCCTCTGAGTAGCATTCAAGGATCAATTCCCATTGTCGTGAACACACCCCCATCTGCTGGTGGCCTAACCTTAACATTTCTCCTAATGACTAAACCTGTAAGACAAATCTGTTTGAACTTTAAATACTATTCCAAATCTCAATATCAGCTTAATGCAAATCAAGATGGCAGATTGACCTCTCGGACAGGACTCTGTTGTTTACAATAGTCCTTGCATTGCCTAGATCTGTTTAAAAATGAACACATTTTAGAGTCGGTAAGGTCAAACGTGATGGTAGGTCATGTATTTTCAGACTGTGGTGGTAGTAATGCTGGTAAATTGTGCCTTCAGTTTTGAAGTATCAAAACAGTTTCCGCAGTAAATAAATTTACTCTACACCATGAAACTTCTTCCTCCATGCTTCACAGTGCAAAAATGGCACCGTGAAGCAAACTAGGAGACTGAAAAGAGAAAAAGGAGGCCCCCGCTCCTAAGAAAGAAAGATAATCTAGGTCCGAGCGTCTCTGATTTAAAAATCCAGATTTTTTGTTTAGTCCATTTTGTTAACAAGATGATTCTGTTTGAGGGTTGTGTGCACTTGATAATTTAGAATGTATTCATAGATGCATCTTAATCACAGAGCCCCCTCAAAGTGATCATGTATTCAAATGTATGACTAATTAAATCTCGGCTGACGGGTGCAATCAGAGCACTCGTTCTGAGATTTCTGTTCTCATCCTTTCCGTAATCAGCTGTTAGATGAAGCTAATTTTTTGCTAATCAGTGCTCTGCGTGCAGTCTCTGTTTCCAGGAAAGCTTAAAGCTGACCGCAACTTAGTTAGACACGGCGCATAAACATAAGGGGCCTGCGGTTGCTTCCAGGCGCCAGCAGATGGCGGTGTGTCCACATGACTGCTGTAGGGGCTCCCAAGAGCCTTCCACAGTGTGAACAAAGGAAAAGATGTGCTCAATGAGGCCATTCTTAAGCTTCGTGGAGTTTCTTACACCCATCAAAATTGAACTCTTTGACTTGAAGGTATCGATTGATTAACTGGAACCTTAATAGTTAACTTAACAGCCATTTCAGCATCGTTAGACAGCTGAGTGGTCCATCCACCTTCGCAAAACATTCTCTCTCCCTTCAAACCCCGACCCCCTGTGGTTCTCCGTCTGCCATGGATCAGTAAGGAGAGTTCTCTCGGCTAGATGCACTCACAAAACCCACTCGCATTTCTTATCGTGTCAAGATATGATTGTCAGTGTGCAGATAAAGTTGCAAAGCAATCCCGGAGTTTGAAATTGCTCAGAGGAATCTGCCTGACAGCGGAGTTACATA